GAAGTGGGCCCAGTGGCTGTCTCGGGCCGGTCTGGGCAGCCAGGCCAGCGCTGCCGTGAGGCAGCTCGGGGAGCTGCAGCTGTGATGTATCGCGCTGATTGAATTGTGGATGCTGAACCATCCTTGCATTCCTGGGGTGGATCCCACTCGGTCGTGGTGGGATTAATGCAGGTTGAATCTGGTTTGCTAACTTTTTTAAAAAATATATTCTATTGATTTTTTACAGAGAGGAAGGGAGAGGGTTAGAGAGTTAGAAACATCGATGAGAGAGAAACATCGATCAGCCGCCTCCTGCACATCTCCCACTGGGGATGTGACCGCAACCCAGGTACATGCTCTTGACCGGAATCGAACCTGGGACCTTTCAGTCCGCAGGCCGACGCTCTATCCACTGAGCCAAACCGGTTTTGGCCTGCTTTGCTAACTTTTGCATCTATGAACATCAAGGATATTGACCTGTAACTTTCTTCTTTTGACAAAAAGGAAAGACGGGTTAGGGAGCAGGGCAGGGCAGGGTTGAGGGGTCTGGGCCCGGTGCAGCCCCGGGGGTCCATGGGAAAGGTATTCTGAGTCACCAGCTGGAGGTTCAGAGGAGGCTCCTGGAGGCTGCTCCCCAAGCAGGTCTGGGCTGGAGCCAGCTTCGAGAAGGGGTAACCCCGTCCCCAGCACGGATGGGGAAACTGAGGCCCAGAGAGTGCACGTGGCTGGCTCCAGGTCACAGTGAGCAAAGGTGGGGGTTTGTGGCCGCACCCTGGCTGTGGGGTTCGGGGAGGAGACAGGGAGGAGTGTCCCAGATCTTCAGATGCAAGATTCAGAGCCACCCACCACCCCTTGGTCTTCCCCACCCCGCTGCAGGTACCCAGCCCTGCCTCGGCCCCTCACCCAGCAGACCCTGACCACCCAGCCGGACCCGGGCAGTGAGGAGCGGCCACCCGCCCTGCCCTTACCCTTGCCGGGTGGTGAAGAAAAGGCCAAGCTCATCGGGCAGATCAAGCCGGAGCTGTACCAGGGCACTGGCCCCGGCAGCTGGCGCGGCGGCGGGGCCCTGGGCTCTGGGGAGGCCGGCGCGGGAGCACCCTGCGGCCGCATCAGCTTTGCCCTGCGGTACCTCTACGGCTCCGACCAGCTGGTGGTGCGGATCCTGCAGGCCTTGGACCTCCCGGCCAAGGACTCCAACGGCTTCTCAGACCCCTACGTCAAGATCTACCTGCTGCCCGACCGCAAGAAAAAGTTTCAGACCAAGGTCCAGGCGGCAGGCTGGGCACTGGGTCCCCCTGAGGAGGGGCTGGGGCCTGGACTCCTGGGTCTGAGGGAGGGGTTAGGGTTAGTGTTAGGGTTAGGGTTAGGAGGGGCTGGGAGTCTGGACTCCTGGGTCTGAAGGGAGAGGGCTGGGGGCC